TCCCATACCCGGCATTGAGCAGCACCACATCTCCGACGACGATGTCACAATTCAGCCACTTGCGAACGAGTCCATCCCGTCGAAGAACGACGGCCTTCTTCTGCTTCTCCGAGCTGAGGGCGCGGAACTGTCGGGACTGATGAAAGTCGCTCGCGGAGGAGACAGCAACGACGAGCACGATGCTGACCAAGATCCCGATCCCGTCATACAATCCATCGGTGCCCTCTGTCATGAACCCCACCACGAAGGACACGACCGCGCAAATGCTGAGAATCACCATAGCCATGTCTTGAAGAGCTTGGAAGACGAAGGCCAAGTAGGACTTAGGAGGGGGGGAGACGAAGCTGTTGTCTCCGAAGGCGCGCCGGCGGCGGGCGATTTCTCCGCCGCCGGCGGCGGCGGCTTCCGAAGCCGCCGCTGCCCCGGGCGCGCTTGCTTTCGCACTTAGGCCCCCTGACGCCGACCCCGACCCCGACACCGATATCATTCCGCTCACCCCTCCGCCGCTTGTCACTATGCCGATGCCGGGGTTAACCTGCAGAGACACGAACAACCCGTCCACTCCGCCGAACAGGCGGAGAGCTTCCGCGTCTCTCCCCTTCATCATCGCCGCCAAACTCTCCGCCGATACTCCGAATTCCGCCCCCATTCCCCCGGCGCCGCCGCCGCCGCCGCCTCTTCCGCTTGATTTCCCCGCAGCATGAGCTAGATACTTCCCCGCTCCGTTCCCCGCCGCCGCCGATGCGCCCCATTCCGCCTCCTTCCCCTCCTCGTCTCCCGCCGGCGCTAGCCCTCTCCCTCTCCCTCTCCTCACTCCCTCCCCCCCCACCTCCATCCCGACCCCGTTCCCATGCCCATCCCGCGCGCTCGCCCCGCCATACCCCCCACCATTGCCCACGATTCCATTCTCTCCTCCTCCTCCTCCTTCGTGCAACCACCCCCCTCTTTCCATCGATGCCTGCCGCACATATTGAGAATACCGGGGAGGAGGAGGAGGAGGAGCAGGAGAAGGAGCATGGAGGTGTTGTTGATGATGATGATTCGAGTTCGTCTCATCCGCGTCCATCCTAATCTGGTCGGGGGGGTAGACGAAGGACAGGGCCGCGTCGTCGGGACCCCGCTGTTCATCGCGACCGCCATAATTGCCGTAATACGGACTGGTGTCCACGTCATTACCGACAAACCCCTCCTCCCGACCCCGACCCACGATTCGGGACGGCATTGCGATCGCGACCCTTATCCTTTTCTGTCCTCTGGTTCTTATCGGCCACGTGCGTTGCCCCCTCTAAATAGCCACGTGTCGCAAGGATGCCACGTGTCAGAGTAGAATGACGAGATGATGCCACGCGCGGCGTCAACACCAGAGGGAAAAAGACTATGGCAAGATGATGCCACGTGTCAACACCAGAGGGAAAGGTACAATGGCGAAATGATGCCACGTGTCACACACCCGCCTCTCTTCCCAAGTGGCACGTGGCACCAGACGGATAAGCTTGGCAGGTCCGTCAGCGAGTCCGATTCCACACTAACTTACCGCGTCACACCGACCTCTCCATCCGCTTCCTCCGCTTCCTCCGCCCGATCGCCCGTCCGCCCCTCCGCCCCTCCGCTCTCCCCAACACCCTTCCCCTCCC